CCCTTTCATGTCAGGCATGTGCGTTTCTGATGGTGTTAGGATTTCTGAGGGAAGTGGTAGCCTGGTGATAATGGGGAGAACTTGACATTAATGGTGGTCCTGTCGTTGATGAGGATACACTAGGTCCTGGGACTTCTTGTCAAGGGTGGATGTCTTCAAATTGCTGAGATCTTTGCAGCATTGGGATCCTGACAGGAAAGGCTGACTTCCTTTTGGGGAGGAGCCTTGGAATATTCTCCTGATGGGCATGTGGTTGCAGTAATGAGCTGCTGATGGAATAGGTTCAGACTTCTGAGAGCTGAAGCTCTGGGGGAGCCAATTGACCTTGAGTGCTAATGTCACTGGCATTAAAAGGTCTCCAACCTCTACCAGGTGGGAGACCAGGATGACTCATGTTTTCTTCCCACTGGAGCCAAAGTAAAGAACCCAAAGTTCTAGGCACAGAAACAGGGTAAGGCCTCCCTGATCTTCAGAGGCCCCTCCTGCATCCTGCCCTCTTCCTGCCTGTTTGAAACCCTTCAGGAAATAGAAGTAGTCCTTGCAAATGTGTCCTTCAGAGGACTTCACCACCAAATGCTTCCTTCTTCAGACTGGGTCCTGGCAGGTTAGCACAGAGGCCGTTGGTCCCCTGGCCAGTCAGAGGGCTGGTCCTATCCCTTTCTAGAAACCACACACACACACACACATACACACACACACACACACGCACGCACGCACGCACGCACGCACGCGCACACACACGCACGCACACAGAACCCCCCAGTCCTCTGAAACCCCTAGCCCCGCCCCTCTATTTTCCTTTCCTCCTAGCATCACCAGGTCTTATTCCTTGGGGACATGGAGAAGGTGGATGAGCATTGTAGCCTAGTCCCACATGCCATGATGCCAACAACATTAGGAAAGCCGATGCCTGCGGATTTCCTCTTTGAAGATCTGGGGAATCTCACTGCCCTTCTGTTGGAGAGTGTCAAGAGGCTGGATGCTCTCCAGGGACCATTTCTATTTCTGAGTTCAAGCACTGCCTGGGTCTTCCAGCTTCATTCCTTGTCGTTTTTCCCACTCAGCTCTTCCTAGCAAGCCAAAGCCTTTCTACCCCAGCTAGACAGCACTGCCCTTTGGCCCTCAGTTCAAGTACTGATCAGGCAGACTTGGGCTTCATTCCAAGCTTTGCTACTTACTGCTTTCATGGACTTGAGAGGTCACTCTACTTCTCTGAACTGCAATTTTCTCACATTATATATATATATATGAAATGGCAGCATTGATACCTACTTCATAGGCTGTTTGAGGATACAATGATACAATGCAGATAAAGGCCTGGGCACGGAGACCGGTACACAGTCACCATGTGGAAGTAAGTAGTTAAACCTTTAGATCTGGCGCCATCACACTACTCTCCATTTTCGTCTATGGGACAGGCTAATTCAGAAAGGTGGTATGTGTAGCCGCATTCTGGAACCAATTGCCCTGCTGGAACCCCAGTTCTGCCATTTTCCTAGCTGTCTAGCATAGGCATGTTACCTCCCTCTGTTCCTCATTTTTCCCCCACTTACAGCATGAGGTTGGCCTTATTACCATCAGCAGTGCCCAGCACCTAGAAAGTTCCAGTGGTGAGTAAGTTATTACTACAGAGCCATGTCTGTCTATGCAGACTAAGTCTCGGCGCGAGGGCATCTAAGAAGTGTGGTGTGTAAAGAAATGCCGGTTCTTGGAGAAAACTCCCCGGTTGGAAATCTTGCTCCTTTGTGAAGACTATTTCCAAGACCTTTTGCTGATTCTGAATTTCCCGGAGGGAAGAAGAAGGGGGTGGCATGGGGTGGGGGCTTGCCGAGAAGTTGAATATGAGATTATCAAAACCTTATGGAGCTGGTTCTGGCCAAACACTCAATCCCACAACAGCGGCAACTCTGACTGCCTTGAGAACTGGATGTGTGCTATGTGTGTGTGTTGTGTGAGTGTGTGTGTGTGCTGTGTATGTGTGTGTGTGTGTGTGTGTTAGGAAAGGACTATGCTCAATTTAGTTATTTTGTTAATCAAATACATATTGGGGCTTATTCTGTGCTAGCTGTGGGAAGCAGTGTTGGCAATGAATATGAACATGGCTCAATCTCTTCCCTGGGGAATTCTCAGCAGATGTTAATGGCAGGAGAAAACTTTATCTGAAAAGGCTGGGTACTCCCTGAGCACAGATGGTAGGTACTTTGGGGAGCTATTAGCTTTAGGGACTGTGGGTCTTCAGGTACTCTGGGCCTTCAGGGACCATGGGCCTTCTGGGACTATGGGCCTTCAGGGACTATGAACCTTCAGGGACTATGGGCCTTCAGGGACCCTAGGCCCTCAGGGACTCTGGGCCTTCAGAGACTATGGACCATTAGGGATCATGGACCTTTATGGCAGAAGATATCAACCTGCTTTAGGCCTTGAACCTGTAGCAAGTGCCCTATGCCCCAGGGAGGAAGCTGCCTATGTAGAGGCGTATAGCAGGCCTCCATGTCCTGCTTGGGAAGCTAGGAGTCCATGCTTCCTGTCAGAGACAGGCAAGCAGGCAATCTTCATCAGTGAAATCTAGATAAACTGGAGACAGATGGAGTTACTGTGCTGAGAAGGTTTGAGCAGGAAGAAGCAGCCCCTGGTTTCTAGAGAGATAAGAGAATAAGACCCAGTGCTAACTAAGGACAGGGGTGGAGAGGTGGTCATTACAGCTTGAGTGTGGGAAGCAGAAGAACCTAAGATGGAAGGTAATGGCTGGAGGAGTGGGGAAGGTTACATACCTGTTTCTTATGGGGTGTTCACTCCCTAAAATTTTAATTTCCCAGGCTTTCCTAGTCAGGCAGGAGATTGCTTGATATAAGGCATGCCGCTAGCTCCTAGATTTTCTTTCCTCCTTAGCATCAGCCTCCCCAGAACCTAAGAAGTGGGAACACTTCTGGATATGTTGGTTGTTGGGGAAACTGGTTCAAAGCTGAAGGTATAGTCTAAGATCTGAAGATCCACAAGTCAAGTCTTGGTATCAGACATAGTATTGAAGCCCTGGGCTAGAGAATGTGCAGGGAATGTGCCCAGAGTCACTCAGCGATAAGGTGGAGACAGGGGTTCACTCTTTAACCTTCCAGTGTCAATGCCATGGAGATAAGGTCCTAGGGCCTCTGTCCTGGTAACACCTTGGGCAGGGCTCCCACAGTGTCTCTTCTATTCTTTAGATTTCTGAGTCTGAGGCACCAGAGGGAGGATTTATGTTTGCTTACAAGGCAAGCTGACTTCTTGGTTTCCCTGAGACCTGAGCAAGATCCAAGGTAACATCTCCTGCCCCATATGTTTTTATCTTCTGTCTGTGGGAGGCAGAGTACTCCATAGCTAGGTGGCCCTACATATAGGTTAATGGCTTGGTCCATGGGAAGTGGGTATGGGGGTGGTGGATGGATGGAGGTCAACTATGGGCATGGATGCATGAATTTCTGGGTAATTTACCTTGGTAATAATTTTCTAGCCATAGCAACTGTTCTGGAAACCACCCTTGTGACTCTAAGACCTGCAATACTTGAGGTTTTGGACACCTGTCCGTGGAAGAAGAAGCTGCCACACTTCCAGTAGCTCCAGGTTTTTGCCCCCCGCCCCCTGGTCTTGCTTGATTGTAACTCCCTCCTGCCTCCTCTCTCACTGACACTTGATCTCTCAGACACCTGGATGCTTGGACACCTGTCTGGACAGCAAAGGTGGGGATACCTGAGAGCTGGAGATGGATGAGGGAGCAGGAGCCCCTCACCACACCTTCCCTTTAAAGGCTTGCCCAGCCAGGCCTGGCTTGGCTACTGGCTGATGTGTATCTCATGTAATGATGACATCTCTTCCCAGACAAGGGAAAGGGAATCTGTCTGACCCTAGCAACTCAAGACTTGCCCCTCCCCACTGGACATGCCCTTGGAGGTCACATCTATAAGCTTCCCAGGCACAGAGCATTGCTGTGGGCTGCTCCAAGAACCACAGGGTCTTTGTCCTGCAGAGTAAACTCTTTCTATAAGATTCATTGTTGCCTGTGTGCATGGAGGGGGTGGCCATGATGTTCTTCCATGCTGGATCTTGCAAGGGTCCCTGATTGCTCTTTCTTCTACCCCATGGGCCTGTCTTCCTTCCATGATCCTTTGGTTCCCAGTCAGTGTCTTTGACCCAGGATTGCTCTGATGGGGCTGGACCCTATTCAGACTATCTGAGACAGGAGAGCTGGTCTGGAGGTCAGATTTAGAATGGGTGGAGTGGAAGATGGGGCTATCCTCCATGGTTGCCGATCCCTTTCTCTCATATTTGTTCATTCTCTAAGTAAATATTTATTGGCTATCTTGTACCAAGTGATCTGTTGGAAACCAACAAAGATATGACCTTTGTCCAGGAAGAAACTAGCAAAATAGGTTATTGTAATGAATTCTCTCTCTCTCTCCCCCCCCTCTGTGTGTGTGTGTGTGTGTGTGTGTGTGTGTGTGTGTAGGTGGGTAGAGTATAGGGAAAGAACTAGATGCAGAGCCATGGGAATTTGGGAGGAAGCAAAGCTACCTAACCCAGTCTGAGTCAAAGATGACTTACTTCCTGGAGGAGGAAACAGCCAGACCCAGAAGGGCAGAGAAGTGAGAAGATTGTTAGAGGGAGCAACATTAGTTCTCCTGGACATTACAGCCATGCCCTCTGCCCCTCCTCTTATCCCCAGCAAAGCTCCCCTACTCCTCAGCCCCAAGGCACCTGGATGCTCAAACACCTGTCTGGATGGTAAAGACAGAAAGGTCTGAGGCTTCTTGGGGACTTTGTTCAGCGAGCTGATGCAAATTTTGTGAAATTGAATACAGAGTGTGATGGGCTGGGTCCTTGATTGTCGGGCTGGTTCTGGGAGCGTCAGGGTGTTAGGTGGAGGCCTGTGAACAGATTGCTCAGCATTCAGGGTACAAAATATATACTGCCGTTCCACCTCCTCCCTTCCTATTCCTGTCCTGCTGGGGAGAGAGTGAACAGACAGATCCATGGGTACCAAACAGCTTTATTGGAAGCACTGCAGTCTAGCCACCGAGAGGCTGTGCTTGTTCACATTGATCCTCTAGGCACAGCCCTGGCTGGGTTAGGTCTAGAGGGGAGCATCAGGAGGCCTGGTCCTCTCTCCTGGTCCTTGGTTCCTTGGGCCAGGGAGATTCACATCCTTTGCTCAAGACACAGGGCTCCTTCCGGTGCTGTCATGGTTAAATCCTGATGTGCTTTCTCTAAGGGGAGAAAGGAGAAGCAGGGTCATGGGCTGGAATCTTGGGCAGGGGTTTGGAGGATAGAGGCAGGGGTGAGGAGGGTCAGGCTTGCCATGGCAGAGAACTTCCTCAGTCTTCGGATGATGCGTTCTACCCAAGGCTGGTCTGGGGGTGCGCAGAGCTGATAGCCCCTTAGTGTGGTGAACCTGCAGTCAGAAGTCAGAGAGACTAAGTCCTAGAACCCAGTTTCCTAGAGGCTTGGAGGCCTTGTGTGGGGACCTGTTTCTGATTCATTGAAAGGCGGACTCAGCTGTGAGTTCAGGGATAAATCAGTGGTGGCGTCACCAAGGGCTGACAAGGAGATGGGTGGGGCTAGACATTCTTCCCACAACTCACACAACAGCAGGCACCCTGCAGCCGTCCTTATTAAGAAGGTAGCGGAAGGCTTTCACGATGTTCACAGGGATGGGGCGCTGGGTCACAGACAGGCAGCAATCTTCCGCATCATTGGCATCCCCAAGAACTGGGGCTGAGGTAGGGCAGAGAAGAGGAGAAGACATGGAACCCATGAGGAAGGAGGGCCAGAAGCCCTAAGTGACTTCAACAGCATCTCTGTGTGAGAGACCTGGACCTGATATGCAGTCGTGTGTGCCACTGTGGCCCTATCAACTGCTGAACATAACGGTAGTCTCTTATCAATAACCATTTCGGTGCATCTCACGAGTGCCTTCTTGCTGCCCTAGTCACACAGCCTCTCCCAAATTTTCTCAGTTTTCACCACGTTTTAGCAAATAGACAGGTAATGGCAGTCACAGTGCGGGGACAGAGGAGGCTTGCCTTGGCCGAGGACTCCTCCAGCTTTATGAATTACCATGTCGCCAGCAGATGGCCTAGAGTCCCAGCTATTAGGGAGACTGAGACATAAGGATCACTTGAGCCCAGGACTTTGAAACCAGCCTGGGTAACACCCACAGATTCCATCTCAAAAACCAAACCAAACCAAAAACCTAAAAAGGAGCAACAAAGAGGGAACAAGCTGTTAAGCACCCGCGATTCAGTGTTTCCCATTCTCTCAAGCTGAAGCAGATGCACAGCAAAACTCTTAAACTGTCTGAGGTGGTGGGTCTGAAACCAGGGTTTCATACACGAGACAAACACTCCAACTTAGTCATGTCCTGAGGCCCCTGAAGCAAGACACACTGTGCCTTCCTTCTGACACCTGGACACTGAGGTATCAGCACATGGGACCTGCAGAGACAGGGGCAGCCACCTGCCCCAGGATACGCCAGGAGCTGAGCCACTCAGGGATACAAGCACGCTCATGCTGAAAGGCACACACAGAAGGCGCAGGGAGCCCTCAATCCACTGACCCTGAACCCATGACCATTCTAACAATCTGAGATGGAGACACTACCCACAAACCATTGCCACCCCGCCTTAGTTACCTCCTCAACCTTACCTGGGAAGGTCCCGAGAACCAGCAGGCTGAAGACTACTAGTGGCGCTACACAGAGTGCCATGGTGATGATCTGAGGCAGGCCACAGAGGGTGTGTAAGCCTGAGAGTTCTTGAGTGTGTGCAGGAATCTGTGAGAGGCTGAGGCTCTGCGGGGTGTGCAGCAGAGTGATGGGAAGCAGGCGTCCTAGTGTGCTGGGAGGGTCCAGAGGCAAGAGCATGTGAGGCTGTGTGAGCACAAGTGAGCCTGTGTGAGGTTGCCACCAGCTCCAATTTATGCCCCGAGCTTTCACTTTCTATCCAAAAATTCCCCCACCATGGCCCATTTGGGTCTTCCCGTTTACCCCCCTCTGCCCCCCCTTTTTTTATTTTGGCAAAACATGACTTTGGCTTCTTTCTTCCCCCCACTCAGTGGCTTCATCCTCTGCTTTCTTTGGCTTTAGCTCTGAGAACTTCAACAGTCTGGCCAAAATAAAAAATAAAAAATGCCATGCCCTGTCAGCTCCAGAGAGAGGGTGTGTGCTGCCCTCTCTTAGTGTCATTGGCATAGTCAGCTGTAGGCCTGGACGTCAGAAGTGCTGGTTAGTGTGGGGTAGCGTTAGGAGCTGAGTTGACAAGCAGAGCTGGAAGGGAAGGCTCCTAAGGTCAGGGCCCAGGACCCCTATCCTACATCTCGGGCCCCTGTGACTCAACTACCTGGATCTACAAGCATTGCCCATTTTCTCAAATCCAATGCCTAGGTCAGAGGAACAGCTGGAGGGAGCCTGGGCTGGGAACAGCCCCCTTCTCTCTTTCCCTTCTCTCAATCCTGGGAACCAAGAGGGGATTTCTAAGGAGAGGGGCCGGCCAGCTCCTTCTGAGACAAACCCCTAAATTTCAAGGAATTGACAGATGGGGGAAGAATAAATCATTTCCCATCCTCGTGAGAAAGAAGACCTCAAAAGAACAACTAATGTGGGGTACCCTTCCAGTCCTCTGTATGTGTGTGTTGTGTAGAAACGTGTATGTTTGTGTGCATGCCCACGTAGAGGCCAGAGGTTGATATGTCTTCTTCCATGACTCTACGCCTTAGTTTTGGAGATGTGGTCTCTCACTGAACCCAGAACCCAACTTGGCAACACCAGCTGGTCAGTGAACTTCAATCATCCCCTTTTGTCTTTGCTCCCCCAAGCACAAAGATTACAGGTGTATGCCGCTGTGCCCAGCTTTTAAGGTGGGTTCTGGGGATCCAAACTCAGGTCCTCAAGCTTGCACATCAAGCATTTTACTGTGGTAGCCATCTCTCTAGCTCTTGAACCCTCATTTTAACCAGGGAAGGGGAGTCAGGCCTTGTACACACACTTGGGAGATGGTCCAGCAAAATGTTTAGCCACCTTCCAGATGATTCTCATGCAAGCTAGAATTTGATCTAGAGTTAACAGGTCCTTTTTTTTTTTTTGGTTGTTTGGTTGTTTGAGACAGTGTCTCACTGTGTAGTTCTGGCTGGCCTGGTATTTCTTATGTAGTTCAGTGTGTTCTCAAACTTAAGTAATTCTCCAGCTACAGCCTCTGGAGTGTTAGGATTATAGGCAAGCTCACTCCACCCATCTCTAATCACAGACCTTTTTTCCCCTTCAGATTTCAGGATGGTAACGAACCCCACCATAGTCAGACCCAAAGCTCTTTAATCCTGACTCCATCTCTCAAATGGATGTTTAATTAAAACGTTTTTGTTACTCTTTTTTTTTTTGATTTTTTTTTTTGAGACAGGGTCTCTCTATGTGGTCCTTGATATCCTGGAACTTTCTATGTTGGCCTTGAACTTGGTGTGCACAGCCACATCCAGCTTAGCAAATTATCCTTTGAAATATAAACTTGGGACTGGATAGATGGCTCAGTGGTTGAGAGCGTCAGTTGTTTTTGAAGAGGACCTGAATTATTTCCCAGCATGCACCACAACAATGTGTAACTCCAGCTCCAAATTTGACCCCCTCTGACCTCCTCAGGCACATACATACAAGTAAGTAATAACAAAATAGTTTTAAAAGTTATTCTTTCTGGTCCCTCACCCCTGCCCTGTAAGTAGTTATTAAAATCCTTGAATTCTCTGTAGTAATGAGTCTTTTGTATGCCGATGTGATGAGATAAAAGGGTTGGAAATATCAGCCTGAGAGACCAGAGGCAGGTTAGGTTGAGAAATCTGTAGCCAATAATGTCGTCAATTATGGCTACATAATGGAACTTCAAAAGGACTAATATGAGAGGTTTCTGACTAGCTGAGGGAATGGGGGTTCCTGGAAAGGGTGCAGAAGCTCTGTGCTCATCTCACATGCCTGTAAACATCTCTTTCAAGGCTTTCCACGTAGCCTTTTGTGGCTGTTTGAGTTAGAATGGCCCCCATAAGCTCACATATTTGAATGCTTAAAGCGATAGTTTGAATGTAACTGGCTCCCAAGGAAGTGTGGCTTTGTTGGAGTGGGTATGGCCTTGTTAGAGGAAGTGTGTCACTGTGGGGGTGGGCTTTGAGGTTTCCTATGCTCCGGGATACTACCCAGTGTCTCAGTCAACTTTCTGTTGCCTGCAAGATGTAAGGTTCTCACATACTTGTCCAGCACCACATCTGCCTACATCTGCCATGCTCCTCACCATTATTATAATGGATGGACTGAACCTCTGAAACTGTAAGCAAGGCATCCCAATTAAATGTTTTAATTTATAAGAGTTGCTGTGGTCATGTTGTCTCTTCACAGCAATGAAAACCCTATCTGAGACACTTGGTCATCAGGGAGTGGCACTACTTGAGAAGGATTAGGAGATGTTGATGGGAGATGTCATTCTGTAAATACGTTTCTCATACTGGTTAATGAATAAAGCACTGTTGGTCAATAGGAAAGCAAGATAGGCAGGACTAGGAGACAAGGAGGATTCTAGGAAATAGTAGAGAGGAGAAAACATGGAGAGACTGGAGAGAACAGAACCACTGGCCCACTCTCCAGTAAGATGAGACCATGTGGAAATACTTAGATTAATAGAAATGGGTTAATATTTAAGACAGAGCTAGCTGATAAGAAACTAGTAACTGGCCAACAGCATTATATCAAATACAGAGTCTCAGTGTATTATTTGGGGCTGCCGCTGTGGTGGGTCCAGACCGGCGGCGGGGAACGGGGAAAATTACTTGTAACAAGATGTGGTCTTGTTGGAGTAGGTGTGGTCTTGTTGGAGAAAGTGTCTCTGAGCTTGGGCTTTAAGATTTCAAGAGCTAAAGCCAGGCCTAGTGTCACGGTCTCTGTCTCTGTCTCTCTCTCTCTCTCTGTCTCTCTCTCTCTCTGTCTCTCTCTCTCTCTCTCTGTCTGTCTGTCTGTCTGTCTGTCTATGAGAGAATATGAGAGAAGCAGGCTCACAGCTATTGCATCTGCTTGCATGCCTCTGTCCTCTCCATCATGATGATTATAGATTAAACTTCTGAAACTGTAAGCAAGCTACCAATTAAATGCCTCCTTTTTTTTTTTTTTTTAAATAAGAGTTGCCTTGGTCATGATGTCCCTTCACAATGATGGAACAGTGACCAGGACCTCTTTGTAATAACCTTCATCACAAACAGTATACAGTATATGTGTTTCTCCAAGTTCTATGAGCTGTTCTAGCAAATTAGTCAAGCCAAAAATGAGGCAGGACGGAAAGAGAGAGAACTAAAGGGATGAAAGCAGGGAAAGTAGCCTTTCCCCCAGGATCTAGATGGCCTGTCTTGCTGTCTGAGTCAAGAAGCTTTAGATACTAAAGTTTAGGTGTAGCAAAGACTGCCTTTAGACATAGTGTGTTTTCCTAATGATGTCTTAAAGGTAGGTGGTCAAAAACAACAAACGAACTCTGCTTATACACAGTTAAAATGTTTGTAACCCAGAATTCTAATATTAATACCCTTTTCCCATCTCTGTCTAAACATATAAACAGTACATCTTATAGACCACTTTACATTTTCATTTACACAAAGTTCTTTAAGAAAATAAATCTGGGCTGGCGATGGTAGCACAAGCCTTTAATCCTAGCAATCATGAGTTAGAGGCAGGGGGATCTCTGTGAGTTCAAGGCCAGCCTGGTCTACAAAGCTACACAGAGAAACCCTGTCTCGAAAACAAAAACAAAAAACAAAACAAAACAAAAGAAAAAAAACAAAAGAAAAAAGAGAAAGAATATCTATATACACACTTTTACTTAAATTTTATTTTGCTCAAAATGTAAGCTTTGCTTAATATTTGAACATTGTTGTAAATTACATCTTTCAAAGAATGTAACTGAAGAGTCCGACGATGGTGGTGCACACCTTTAATCCCAGCACTTGGGAGGGAGGGAGGCAGGCACACACTGGAGAGACACCTAAGAGTGACTTAACAAAAGCCAACGTCCCTTTGGATGTGTTCTGTTCTGCTCTATGTAACTCTGAAGATAATGGGAGCTGTCAGGCAGCTAGAGCGGGGACCTGAGAAATGAGTACTTTCACTTCATTTGTCTACAACCAGTTCTGTCTTGACCAGAAGCCAGAGATGTCCTTAGTTCTGTTGGAAGTTCTGTCTTGTCCAGGAGAAATGTTTAGAGGTACTGGTTTGTGTTCTGATTTCTTGTTTTTATTTTTTGTTTTTTGTTTTGTTTTTGTTTTTGTAACATAGCAACCTAATGAATATAGCTGCCTGGATTCTATTTGTAACCAGAGACTTCATTGGCTTTGACGATGACTCTCAAACTCCAGTTCGGTCACGAGGATGCAGAGGTGCATGGTCATCAACCATCAGTCCAGGTAGACCAGCTGGAACAACCAATTCATCTCCCTATAACTCTAGTCAGTAAAGTATTATTAACCCTTAGACAAAGACACTCAGTGGCAAGCCTTCCTCAAGACCCTCCTGCTATATGGGAGCCTTGTCTGTTTCCTTCCCCTTAGGCTCTGTTCTATAATAACACTCCTTTCTAAAAAAACTCACCATTTGTTTTCTATGTAATCCATTTTTCTAGTTCTTGAGACAAAGGATCCAGAAACTTTGGTGGCTATTGATGAACAGGGATTCTAGTCCCTGAGTTATGTTCACCCTAGGTGAGAAAGATTTTTGTCTAAATACTGAAGCTGTCATTTTCGCATCACTCAACCATCCTGAAATTCCTCGAAGTACATTCAAACACCAGCTTTGCCAGAGAGGAGGTCCCTGTTGGGGAGGGAACT